AATATTTGCCACAATTTTTTATAGCTGGCGCGGGATAATCTGATTCCTGCCCTATTCAGCGGTACGAATGGCGGACCAGTACTGCAGAGGGGCTCGGAAAAAGGAAGACGTAATGTCATTAACTCGCTTGCGGCAGATCTCGGCAGATGATGCAAAACTTGTGGGACAGGGTTGCTCGTACCGCACCACGCGCATTGGCCTGAGCCGGGCCGGCGTTTCTTCCTCCCGTCACTCGCCGATTCAGATAATATACCGTTTGGGTGTTTACCACCAACGGTTTTCCTGTCATAAACAGCGAAGAGGCAAGATTTTTTAAATTGAGTCACGGTAAAAACCAGCAAAAAGACATTACTTCCGGTACCGCACTTATGGCCGCCTTTGATTAAAGCGACTGTTCCACATCTCGATCGGATTTTGAACTGAAACAGCCATCTTGAAGATCGCTCGGTGCATTTTACAACCAGCCCTTCTTAAGACCTAAGCCTCCCTAGTTTCTAAGCTACATGCCCGCAAAGATGTTCAGGCCATTTCGTGTGGACTATTTCAAGGCCACCCCGACTTTCATGACGCCATATCATTCAAATCCTGCCAGTCCATTGGCCATGCGGTGATCAAGATCAAGAACAATATTGTTGTCAAACCGTTCATATCTGGCGTTCCCGAGCAGGATTTCCAAATACACTGGCTGCTAGTTGGCTCTAACTCAAATTGGTGCAAGATACAACGGGGCATTCAAACATTGACCCATTGAGAAGCATATTTTCTGAACACAAAAATTGTGTTGACTAGAGCAGCTTTTCCCATTTGAAAGCATACCAGTAGTTATAATTCAGATCATCTCATGATATCTAATGTTTGTTTCAACATCTTAAAATATAGAACGTTCGCTCTACATATGTACTCGTGTCCGTGCCAGTACCAGCAGTATAGCCAGAGGGCGCGTGAGTCGCATTCCGGGAGCCCGTAAAAACGTTACAGGGCAACGATATAACTTTTGGCCTCTTTGCTTAAGTTTAACATTGTCATCACATGTTGATTACTTATCGTTCTGTTCAGAACCGTCCTACGCAATGATCTATTCAGGACCGTCCTAACTTTGATCCTCAATCTCGCCAGTTACCGAAGAAGGTGGCTGTCATCTTGCATGATGTCAACTAGCATCACTTTTGCGACCCATTATTCTATAGCTCCATACATCACCACTCAAAAAATTCGCGATGGTATGGTATATGGTACGAAATTATACCAGAATGGCGAATTACGGTATAACATTATGGTACGGTGTTGATGGCTTAAATCCACCATTAAGTGTTCAGGACTGCGGTCAGACGAGATGGCAGATTTATTGTTTCATTGGACAACGTTTTAGAATCGATTACACATGTCAGTGCTGAAACGCAATGCACAAAAGAAATGGATCACGATGAAACCAAGGCTACTAGAGAGATGAAAGCAGATTTATGGCACACAGTAACAAGCATACCAGTCTTATAAAAGTCGTTTGGGGTGAGTAATTATTAACATTGGTTAGTTTCGTCTTAAGTAGTTTCTTTCCAGTCATAAATTAAGACACACAATGGTGCAGCATACAAGTTTAATTTTCCGTAAAAACGTGTGGGAAAACACCGTGCGAGCGAGCAAAAGCTAAGTGTATGTGGACCGTGGATTTTGGTATCGGTGAAATTCAAGGTTGCAGCAACTGTTTGTGTTCCAGACGAGATAAGTACCCGACATCATTTAGAAAATAAAGCAAGCCAAGTACCAAAAATAGACATGAATAATGATATTCTGGAGGCAAGAACATGATTGTTTGCTGTCACTAGCAGCGGGCGGAGGTTTTCTTCTCAATGGTGACAAATTCGCAGTGGGCTGGGCTCTGCCGCCATTAGGTAAACCCACACAAGTTGGTCCACAGCACATTGCTGAGATCTGTGCAAGCTATGAACCTCGCTAACGGGTTTAGTCTGAGCATATTATTGTGATATAAGAGCACGAGCAGCAGCAGGAGCAGGCGCGCAACGCCAGCTGCGCGACTGCTCATGGATCTTATTCTCCCTCCCCCCCCCCCCCCCCCCCGACTGTCAAAAAAGGTCTGCTGGTAAGTGGCCGGGCAGGGTCAACTTGGCACGTGCAGCAGTTTAGGAGCTCTGGCCGACTGAAGAATAACGGACAGCTAGCAACTGGTCAGACCCGTGCAGCCATGCGGAAGTGATTTACATACAGCACGAACAACTAGCGGGTGTCCTGTCCCGCAAATAAATTTCAGATGAAAATTTACCACATAAACTGGATCGAGTTGCTTCGGTTGGATCGGCAAAATTTGTCCGCAAACTCTTGGGAGAACGACTTATTGTTCCTCTTCGGTAAACATTTTACAACATTTTCAGGATTCTTCCTCAATAACAAGAAATAGGAAATCATGTTATGATTTCTAATTCCATAAATCATTTCTACATCACTAAAATATCTGTGACATCATAAATGTAAAACAATGCTACAAAATGTGAGTACCATAACATTATTTGTACTCCTAGTAATAACCAAATTCAAAACAAGCAACATAGAGCGAGCGAACCTGGTGAAAAAGCAAACACGCGAACCAATCCAATCAAACAGGTTCAGATGACTGATAGTCGATGGGTCAATGGGTGCTTTGGGTTTTCTCACATCAAAAAGGTTGTTTTACGTATTAAACCACTACATCTTCAGGGTGGCATAACCGGAAGGTAAATCGTCTTATACCATACAGCCTTGTCAGTAAATAACATGAGAAATATAGGTCAACCATTCCCACCCAGCTCAGTAAGCAGCGAGCATACACCCACGTACGAATTTTTAAGCAAATCCTCTCCTTGAGGAAAGTGTGAATTTGCTAGAAATTAAAACGCACTTAGCGGGAGATATCTTTTTGACCACTGGTGAACCACACGTTCAGACGTTTCCATTTACAAACGGCACACACATGCACGGCCAACACTTCCCAGAACCCAGCCTAGGGCGGCGCTGAAATGCCAGCCGCTGCGACCAGACAAATAACCGTTTACCCACTCACAAAAATACACGCTATATGACGCGTCCGTCAGGCACAGCGCGAGCTGCTCGGTAAAGACATGCTGTTCAAAAGCAAACGATAAAGACATGTTGTTCAAAAGCAAACGGTACAGACATGCTGTTCAAAAGCAAACGGTAAAGACATGCTGCTCAAAAGCAAACTACGTGCCAGAATGTGAATTGCGAAGCGTCTTTACCATGTACATCGAAATAAATTGGGTGCATTTTACTATGGCCATTATTATACTGCCTCTCGATAGCTCTGTTTACCTCACACTGAGCTTGACACAGATCTCAATGCACTCAGTTTGAAACGACACTTGGCAAAAAACACTCAATTATTTCGAAGCGATAACCAAAAGGAATACCGGCCACAGTCCTTGGTTCTTAACACCACGAAAATAAGAAGACCTCAGAAGATGCCAGAGGTTTTCCAAAATAAACCTTAGATTCACATCACACGCGATGGTTGAAGTGCCTTTAGCTTGGTTTGAACATTTTTTTTGCGTGACATCTTGGGTCTTAAGAACCATATTTGACGCAGCTTGCCACGGGGGGGGGGGGGGGGGGGAACTTGTCGACGTCGTGGATAAGGTTGGCGACAAAAATGTTCACTTTCACGTGACGCTTGGTGCCAGAAATGCTTTTGACCGGTGGTGTTGGTGACGGGCACGCCAAAATATTACAGCGCGCATTCCGCAACCTTACATGAGCAATTGTAACACATTTTATCCCGCAACACCAGTAAGCCTCGACGTAAATACCCTTTACCGTACCCTGCAGTCCCTTGGTGTCTTTCTTAAGATCCATCCCATCCCGCGACAAAAAATATCCCATCGTTTTCAATTGGTTGCTCACCTTGGTGACCGGCCGACGACAAATCAGTGTATTTGCTATAGTCCGGCCGGTCGGCCGATGCGCTGTTTTTTACCAGCCTACTCCCAGTGTCCCAAACTAGACAGCGACAAATACCGTGAAAGATCTAGATAGTGGCAGGTAGCAATTAAATGGCAGGTGGCAATTTAGTGTCAGGTTGGGCTGAAAAAGACGAGACGGTTGACTCAAGAAGAGACACAATACTACGATGAGCGTTGTCCCAAAGCTTTTAAATTCGTAGGTGAAAATTAGCTTCGATTGAGCTAAATCACAATATGATTTCATGCAACGGACATATGTTTCGCAAACCGCGCGAAAAAGCTCCTTTCATTTTTGCACTCTTAAGAACCGCATCAGTTTCAGTAGGAGTGAAACTGACCCTACAACCCTTCTACTAAACGGACAAGAGATCCACATCAGTTTCAAGGCGGCTTAAACGGACCCTGCAGCTCCGCTTCCTCCCTCGACCATCGGCCTCAATCATAAAGTTAATAAAAAATTAAGCACCGCAAAATCAAAAGCACAGCTGTGCGTATGCGGCCCCTCTGTGGACTGCGATTCAAGTCAAGTTGCCACCTGTCGAGGGTTAACGAAACATCTTCGGCTAATCTACAAGAAGGCATTGTGTACCTTACAGTATACTAGCTCTGTCTTGCATCTTTTTTGTTGTACAGCAACATTTAGATCGAATATTCTATAGTGTCATCTTTCCAAACCCATGTACATGACCGAAATGCTTCGGCTCGCTTTAAAAACGAAGTTGTCACTGTGCAGAAACATAACTTGTAATTCTCCAAGCTAATATAGATTTCATCGCTAAAAAATCAGCAAAAATTGGATAGTTGCATTGTTGCACTCAGACAACTAAGTTGTGGCCTTATTGTGAGCCATCTCTCATGTGGATATCGGGAAGTTGTAAAACGGTGCTAAACATGTCTCTAATCACTCCTTTGAAATCGACATTTAGCAAAATCAAATGCAACTTATCTTCACTCCACAAAAGAGCAAACAACACAAGTCCGCATCCGCCAACACCGGATATGACTTCCGCAAACATTGCACTGTGAACTCACCATGCGTTGTCAGCGCCGCTGCCTTTCACCGCCCGGCGTCATGGGCACGACTGTGACGGTGCTGATCGAAATCCAACACCCGCGGAAAAAATGGTACTCCGCGCCGCGCCGCAGGCCCCGCCCCTGAACTCCTGCCGGCGTCGGCGGCGGCGCGCGAGCGTCGGCGGCGCGCGACCGCCCCACACTCCCGGGCCCGGCCGCCCCACCCCACGGCCGCCACGGCGCGCCCCGAGCCCGCCTATTGATTGGTCGCTGCCGGCCGGCGCTGCAAACACGGATAAAAATTCAATTTTACAGCGCCACCGTACGGTGAATAATTGAGGAATGCGCATGCGCGGCGCGCCGGCCCGACCCCACGAGTATTGGAAATGTCGATTTCTCGGCGGCCCGACGGCAGCGGCGGCGCAGGCGACGTCTCGTCAGCCGACGAACCCTTTACAAAAACAACGCCAATATTGAACGCTTGGACCGGGCCGGCCGCGCGGAGGGAAATAAATTGGTGCGGCCAGAGCCCCGCGGAAAATGGTCGGAGATGGGACAGAGCTGCGGCGCTGGAGATGGGAAGGACTGCTGCGCTAGAGATTGGAGATGGAGGCAGAGCTGTGGCAATGGAAGCGGGAACATTGCTGCAGTATTGGGGATGGAGTGAGAGCTGCGGCGTTGGAGGGGAAGCGAGGACTGCGATGTTGAAGGTGGAGCGAGGGCTTTGGCGTTGGGAATGGAGACACAGCTATGACGGGGAGATGGGAGCATATCGACGATGGAGATGGGATGGAGTGGCGGCGTTGGAGATAGGAAACGGAACTATGGTGCTGAATATAGGGACAGAGCCGTGACGTTGGGGACGGGGACAAGGCTGCGACGTTGGGAATGGAAACAAAGCCTTGGCGATGAGGATGGGACAGACCTCTTACACTGAAAGCGGGAACAGAGTGGTGACGTTGCAGACGGTGACAGGGCCGAAGCAGTGAAGATGGCAACTGAGCTCTTGCCATGAAAACACGGATAAAGCTGTGGTAGTGAAGAGCCGCCCGTCCTGTTAGCTCAGTTGGTTAGAACGGCTGTCGTACAATTTGGCTGCTCGTGGCGGGACGGGTTCGAGTTACTTCAGGCGCTCGCTATTTGCCCTCGTCTGGTGTAACCTGCGACCGGTGGCAGAAACCGCGCTAAAGGTCAGGTGACGTCAGAGGGCAGGACGGACCGTGTCGAACATTGCGGAATGTAAACGGAAAGTTTTCGCCGCAAAATTCCGTCACGAAGGCAGAATTTCACGATCGGATGGTAGGACGAGCGCTCACATGACACGCACCGCTTAGCGTAGGGGCTGATCCCAAAAATCTACTCGATGAAACGGCTTGGACGAAGTCTTAAAGAAGATGGCGGATACAGTTGTGACGATCAGGATGCCATCAGTGCTGTGACGATGATGACAGTGATGGACGCCATGGGGACACATGTCATGGTGATGAGCATTGAGACAGCTTACTGAGTTGTTGAAGACAGGACAGAGCTATGACGACGAAGACGGTTATGAAGACAGCCATGCTGACGGCCATGACGCTGAAGATGACCGCGGAGACGGGCTCAGAGTTGTGACGATGGAAACTGTGGCGGAGAAGTGGCGACGGAAGTGGTGACGGAAGTGGTGACGGAAGTGGTGACGTAAGTGGTGACGGAAGTGTGACGTAAGTGGTGACGGAGGTAGTGACGGAAGTGATGACGGAAGTGATGACAGAAGTGGGACAAAGCTTCCCCGACGGAAGCCGAGAACGGGAACGGGAGCATTTGCTATACGGTAATTCCCGTAGCAATCCAGGCGTTTTTGGCGCGTTACGAGCATTACCCGGCTTGGAAGAATGCTTTCAAAAGGCTCAGAATATAATCAAAAACGGTTTCACATGTGCCATTATTTGTTGATGTTCAAAACCCGCAACTTTATAAGATGTGTCAGAAAGAACAAAATATGAGACATGAAGCAAGCATCTTTGACTGATGATTGTTTGGATCCATTGGGCATCCCATTCGCAACTTGTTCCTTTTCCAAGCCACGTGTACTTCCAACCAGGCATACTAAATGCGGAAAGTAGGGCCAGCTCCCGGCCACAGGCCAGTGCTAGACAGTGTCATACGGCTGTCGTGGCCTGAATAAGACATTGGCCGAGCTTCTGGGCGTTCCGAAGACATCAGACTGACTGTGTACACACGAGCGTGAGAAAAGACAGTCCTGCTCTCTCCCTACAATTATCGATAAGACTCGGATTGAGACGCCTCTGTCACACATGCATGCCGTTGATTTCAAACAAGGTTTTTTCTTCCCTAACCTTTGCAATGTTTCCACACGATGTATCGCAACGCGGTGTTGCCCGAGGCCCTCTGATTGTAACATTTGGCTTGGCGTTGTGTTTTGTTACTTCGACAGATGATAGGCACCATAGTGGCCTCAGAGCGCTGGTGACGTCATGATGCTCGGCGTTTATAACCTTGTCACGCGCTGCACAAGATGGACAATACTGGTTTTAGAAACTTAACGCAGATTCCCCATACAAGGAGCACAGATGCCGCTTTGCATTATACGAACGGGACCCTTTGACCTGCCATAATTCCTAGCGCCGCATTCGTAAACGGCCCAATTTTTGTGCAGCTTGCGGGGATACAAAGGCCTTAGAATCGTAAAAAGGGCAGTGAAGTCGAGCATGGGAAATTGATTAAACCCCTCGTTTAATAACATCACACGTTCTCCGAATATGTGGAAAAAGCAGAATGGAACAATGGTTTGAACACGCGTCCGGCAACACTCTCACGCGCCACTAAATCAGGCTTTATTGTGCGGAGAGAAGCATTAAATTGTCGACTGATGTGCCCCTTTGAAGGCATTATTTGAACTCGGGACAGCATTGTGCCCGGGTTTTCATCTTTGGCAGCAGTGAGGGCAGCATGCGTTGTGTCTCAGATGTCACCGAGTGCCTCATAAATTTTAATGTTTCCCGATTTATAGAAGCGGCGCGTGCCATGCCGGGCCGGGGCGTGAAGCGGATAATTGGTGGCATTCATTGGTCTAGGAACCCAACGGAACTGCAGATTGTTAAGCCAGCTTCCTGCTTTCCAATGTCAAATTAGCAGTATGGCGGTGAGCAGCGGGAATAAAGTGGACCGAAAACTATTCAAAGAATGGTATCTGCCATCATCAAATGTTCTTGGTAGAGCAGAAATGGTTCGTGCACTGAAGTAAACTAACACTTGCATTTGACCATGTTGATAGTTCCAGAAGGCTGAATACTACGGAAACCGCGGGCGCTGCGTGGATCTGGGTTGAGGTGCAAACTGGACCTGGGTTAATGTGTAAACTGGATTTAACAGCGCAGTGGCCACCGGCGCCGTCATATGGCATTCGATCCCGCTCATCAGATTTCACTTTTTGACGGACAGTTCGCTCCAAATCCAAAGAAAACTTATGTGTCGTAAATCTCGAAAACTCCTATTATGCTGGTCCAAGTTTGACTGGATAGGTCTCAAGCAGAACTGTGTGGCCTGAACCGATCTTTGCCATCCCGAAAGATCGTAAATCGTCGGCGACACACACGGAGCAAACGACAGTGGTAACAGACATACTGTGTGTCATTTGCGCAAAGCAAAGCAAAGCAGAATTCCTGTTTGGATTCAAATGATGTTACCATGGTAAACTTAGGGATATGCCTGTAATTTACCACGAATCGATGGCGATGCCAAATATTGAAATGCGACGGGGTGATGCTGACGTTTAATTTGACGTTGAAATTGACGAATGCAGGAGGGGCGTTTGATGTTAGGGAAAGTGTTGCATTACAGTTGGCAGTGCCCCTTTGGGTCACTTTATTATAGTCGTATCCACCTATAGCAAAATTCTAAAGCAGAAGCTATGTAGAAACACTGCATCACAAAATGTTTGATGCAGTGTTAAAATGAGTATAAACCGTAACAACTGCTGCATTTTCCTCCGTGTTCATGCGCCTGGCTTGACGCGTCTGTCTCTGTGACAAATGAACTGCTGCAGCCTGATTTTCATGGTTGTAATCAATGCACCGCATTTGGGGAGGAGCGGCTTTGGTGCTCGTGATGACCAGCTGAGTGAAAAATTAAAGCAAAATAGCGCTCATTCCCTCCTGCTTGAGGAAATGGTCTTCTCACCCAAGGCCGAAGACCTCGAGTGGGAAGATTCGTTCTGAAGGCAAAAAATGAAAAATAAAGTCGGCACATGATGCATTACACTTCTTACACACTGCGTTCATTTACTTTTCAGCCAGCTTGTGGTCGCGTTCTTGCACTTTCCACTTGTGGGAAAGAGCACCTCTCTTTTTTTTTGTTCTTAAGAATTGCGACATGTCGCGTGAACAATCGTATTTCTTTACATTTCTCTTGCATGCACATTGAACGCGTCACATAAGACGACAAAATAAGCAATCTCCAAAGCTCGTTCATCCTGACACCCTACGTATTGCAGTATGCTAAAGGGTGCCAAAAAACGGACGGCTGAGCCGCGGGGCCTCCGCTTTTTGCCCGTAATTCGTAGAGTGCAATCAAATGTAATAGCTTAAGCTACGAGCACCAGTGCTTACCCAAGGAACAATAAACCAGGATGCCTGCCAAGGAACACAATACCACAACCTCAACCTCATTACCTCATTACAAGTAGCCCATGACAAAAATTCACTTACTAGGAACATTATTGTGGTTATCCAAGCTCCCACAAACCTGATTCTATCTCCGTGCGGTGGGCTGCGCGGGACACAAAGGGCAAAGCCGAAAGTTTTATAGCCCGTACCGAGTACAAGTTCAGAAGGTCAACTACTTGAGGATGCTAGTGTTAAGAGCAACGACCAGTGAACTCCTTCTAAACGTGCCTCAAGAGTCATTCATCATCTGTTTGCAAGGGCAAGTTCGAAAATATGGTTTGTGACGTCATCGCATATGCTTATTCGCTTCTAATTTCTTACCGATGCGCCGCACGGCTTATAACTTGTAGAATCGTGTTTTGGTCGTGTGACTAATCCCCACACGTGTTTCCGTCAAATTTGAAGGCGATGCCGTTGATTTCACAAGTTGACTGGAAGACAATGCGGCACCCCCTTCAAATTTTAC